GATTGGGCACATATCCAGTAGGCTGCGGCCACCATATCCTTATTTGTTTGTCTTTCCTTTTTCCTTTTCGACAATGACGGTGTTACACGAACGGCAGACAATCCCAAGGGTGATTAGGTATATTAGAAAAAAAAAAAAAATTAATAACAATCGAGTTTAGAAATAGGCTCTCGAAACACTTAGCCTACGGTTTCCTTCGCATCCCGCCTTATTGGACCTTAGTAGTTGCTTTGAAGTCGTTTATGATGTCTTACTTTTCCCTGAGCAGGGTATTTTTCATACCACTACTCCCTTCTCATTGCCCAAAAAAAAATTTTGTTTGAAAAATTGCATTTAAGCATTGCCTATGACCCCACGTGGATTCGGTTCGGTTGCCTTTTTTTCCTACATATATTTGTTGCAAAAAATCCTATCGCTTCAACTCGTGTAGCTTGTTTGCCCCAACATTGCCAGGGGGAAAGCAAATTCTCCGATTGTCATCTGTAATCTCTGCCGTTATTTTTGCGGGCATGTAAGGGTATGTGCAGATGTGCGATAAAGAAAAAGTTGGTGAGCAGTAATGTAGGGCCGCACGCCAGGCTGCTCTCAACCCTTTAACGGGTTGAGAGCAGCGCGTGTTAGCTAACGCTCTGCATCTGATCGTGAAACAAGTCAAAGATGCAGACGAGATCATTATATCTCCACTAATTAAAATTGCATTTGGTGGTACAGTTCACAACAGTTGTAGGTCTACTTTACCGTATTTCCTAATTCCCTTTAATCTATAATGCGGTCGCATGAGATGAATGTGTTGTGAATCATCATACATTCCCTAAATTAGCAAGTCGAAATTGATCAAAGCCTACTTAGGGACAGGGTAGATGCAACACTTGCATCTAGTAACTTATTCGAAGGCTATTTTACTCATTTTCACGAAGAAAATATTTTTGGAAGGGGTTTGTTAGCAGACATAATCTATGTGCAATACACAGTTTCCCCAAAGTTTCTCATTTCGGGTGAATTCTGAAAATGTTTAAAAGCGGTAATGACATTTTTCTTCTTCTTTTATATTTCATATTAAAAGCAACAACATCAGTTTGTCTTGTATACACATATATATATTTTTTAGCAAAAATAAACACAAAAATAAAATAAGAAAATGCTTCATTGCGGAAACGCATACAATGATACTAGTACGCCTTTGGAAAGTTGTTGTCTTTTTAAATTTTCCTTTTTTTATTATTATTGTTATGTTTGGACGTTTCATTGATATTTGAATGTTTATAAAACAACAACTATGTACAATGATGTAGTAATGTAGCATTTGCGCCTGTTTTATAAAACAATGGGAGGTGGCGGATGGCGTCATTTAATCTGGCGACAAGTCCATGCAAATATAGATCGTAATTTTAACTTAGTTAAAATGAAAGCCAAAAAGAAAACAAAATTTTTGAAAACTCAAGTCGATATAAAGAAACAACGGAGATAGCATGAGTTAGAGACATAGCAAGATATTTCAACATACTATGGCATTTATTAAATGCAATTTTATTAAAGCAAAACAAAAACAATTCAACCGCGTAATGTTTACAATGTTGATAATAAATTGTAAGACAACAATTTTAGTTTAAATGCCGCCCACACAATTTGTATTGCCATCAATGCCATCATCGTGAATTATGTGAAGGCGAAGCGACCATAAAAACGTCTAAGCGCTGTCCAGAAGACAATTAAATTTTAATAAAAAATCCTTTCAATAAAATTAAAAGTATTTTGATTCAGGAAGTTTAACGTTCGCATATCTTAACACGCAGCACGCGTTAGCGTAAAGAAAGAAAGACTTTCAGTGAGTTAATGAAATTGAGTTTTTGGCTTTCAGGGAAAATGTTTCGTTGAAAATAAATAAACAAGATTTACTTTAAGTTTTTTCTTGCAAGTGCCCGTCAAAGTTAAGTTTGCGATTATAATACAAAATGTCTGCGATTTCATATCGCTTTAGTTTTAATTATGACATAGTTTCGTCTTGAAATAGTTAGGAAATAAGAAAGCAAAAAAAAAGATCCAACTATGCATATATATATAGATATATATACATATATATATGTATCTAATGCTTACAAAGTATAACATTTTTGGAAGCATAAAAAACACCAAAGAAGGAAAAAAAAGGACGAAAGCAAGAAATTTGCTCCTGCCTGTAAATATTCTAGCGTTGATGACGATGGTCAAAAAAAGGTTTGTTGTCGAGGTTGTGACCGATGCTGATGCATAACTCTTTTTACGGTGACGACACTTGTTTGCTTTTATTGTTTATTACATTAAATTGTCTCGATTGAAGGCATTGTTTACAGATAGCATTGTTCACGGTAGAGTTTTGAAACAGCAATAACTTATTTAATTAACAGTGAAAATTTCAAGTATTTGGGTTGGGTTTATTTATTTGGAATTCCGTAAATGAGGAATAATTTTTTTATTTTTTTTTTTTTTCTATATATGTGTGAAGGAAGAACCGAATTTTCCCTTCGTTGGAAAAATGCACTTTTAATAAAATAATGGCGGGGTAAGCTTCAGCAGCTATTCCAAGGCGTCCTTATCTCTCTTGACGATATAAATCAATTTCTTCTTATTAGTTATTTTATGTCGCTACCTCAAATGCATAGTTCGAATAATAAAGAAAGAGGTGTTATTTCCTATAAGGAATTTAGCGTCTAAAAATTGAAATTTAAATGCTTTCACTTACCTTAAATGACCTGGTGTCAGTGTTCATCCGACGAAACGGACGGCCTTCTTGAAAAATATCCTCAATTCAGTATCTACAGCCGGCGTTTCCAGCGAATAATGACGGATTTTATTTCGGATAGTGTCTAGGCAAAGTTAGATTTCGGCCTAGTGGTAGCAAGCGTTCGTCCATCATTTCGCTTAACAATTTTGAGGGTGCCGTCCGCACATGTAAATTGTACTGTAATTTTGTCTGAATGCAGGCATTGTATATGGTAGGGGTATCGGCTGCAGTGAGGTACCTTTTGCATCTCTTTAAAAACCTGGCCCCATGACTGCATCGTTCGATAGTCCGAATATATGTTCAGTCCAACCAACGTAATATTGCATTTTCATGTTTCCAGGAGTTTCGAGAGCCGCACTAAATGCTAAAACTAAGGGGTGTCTAACCTAGAAAGTTAGATGTTTTAAATAGATCTGACTGCTAATGGCGCAATGATTTAGTGTTAGCGATTTGGAGAACCAATGGTAAACAAACTCTTGGTTGACGCTGTATTTGATCCGTAAAATATCAGGCAAGGAGAAATTCGTCCTTATAGGTGAACACTTGAAACTCGGAAGACATATCTTTGAATTAAACTTTTATTCCACTTGGTAACACTCTATAAGATATTTTATAAACTAAGGATTTTTTTTAGTGGCAATGTTCACCGAACTTGGACAAAATATATATAAGTATTTATATCCATACGTGTGCCTTTGTGTGTGTGTGTGTGTGTATGCGTGTGTATGCGTGTTTGTCATGTTTCGTGGTAGATGATTCGCAAATCTTCTACAATTTGAAGGATATAATTCAGGAAAAAGAAAGCTATCACTTATTAGAGAATTGCGATCTGGAATTGTGGATTGAGAGGAGAGATATGAGAATATGTTTTCTATTTGATTCTTAATAAACTGAAAAATTAACTTTAACTTAATTTTGCTATCAATTGTTAAATTTTTCTCCTTTAACTCCTCGAATCATCTCGTGTAGGCTCGGTTGAATTTTTGAGGAAGAAGAAGAAAGGGAATATACAAACTGTATACCGTATCCGAATGCATTGTAAACCTAAAAAAAAAAAAAAAAAAAAAAAAAACAATTATTCTCCACCACCATTTTGACCATTGCTAAAGACGAATGACTTCAAGGCAAGTCGCTTTACATTTGCTACTTATATACGTACAATAATAACAAATTTGAATAAGATGTTTATCTAAGTAAACAGAGAACACATTGTATTCAGTATGCAAATAACTACACATATTAACTTGTAATGTTATTCTGTAATTAACGAAAGATAAGCAAACGTATAATACGCCCGCGTATGACCGCTGCTATCGAAATGCATTTATATACCACCCAAAAGGATTTTGGTAATGTTGGCACGTCTGTCTGTTGGGGTATCAGTTGGTGTATCAGTTTGTCTTCGTTTCATCTAAATTTGTTACATAACATTACTATTACGTTGTATGTATGTAATTTAGGTATTACGTGTTAAGGTGTGAGAGCAAAACAATAGAACAACTGCACTTAATATGTTTATTTTCATTTTTGATAACACGATACGCGAGTAACGCTTTGTTACAAATATCTATGTAAAGCTGCTCAGCTTTTACACCAATCTATTACTTCGTCGTTTAGGGAATCAAAAGGAGTAAGAAAAAAATATCTTCAAGTTGTGCGTATAAGCATCCGCATATATACATATATAGAAAAAACGAACATCCACAAAAAAACTTTTTGAGAATCGTGTTAAAATAAATGTTTATGTTTTTCCGCGATATGCCAACAGTGTTGCGCATTAATGTTTTTCAAAAAAAAAAAAAAAAAAAAAAGCATTTCGCAATGTATGCTTAACGCTCACTTGCGTTTATTACTATTTTTTTTTTTTATTTATTTATTTATTTTTTTTTTGGCTCAACGTGTCGCTGAACTCTGTTGATAATATTTACCCAAACCCGACACACTTTTCTGTTAATTTTTTATATATACATTGTTGTGTGTACTATTTTAAGTATTACACTAACAATGCACGGCAGCTCATATTAGATAATGCAATCTTTATTCTACGTTGTAATGGTTTTTGGTTTTGTCTCAAAACTGATAAGTGAAGCGGAATCTTTTTGCACATTAAGAAAAAAAAAAAAAAAAAAAAAATGAAAAAAAGTCATTCAATTTAAGGTCATTAAGGTGATCAGTGATAACTTTCTCTTTAATGTTTTACTGCGAGTATAAATACTGGTCTTTGTTATAATATCTGGTATGATTTCCAAGTATGAAGTCGTACACAGTAGTTGCGTTTATTGCCATTTGTGCTTTGGCTTCGTGCAAACATATCGAGAGCAAGGTAGCCGACAAGGATTTTCTAACGAAACAAAAATTCGTTTTAGAGATTTTGCAGCATGTCTATCAAAACGATGTGTTCGTAACGAAGTACGATCAAACATTTAGCAATTACAAACCATGGGAACATGTAGGGGACTTTAATCAGGTCGATCAAGTTAAGGAATTCTTCGAATTGTGGCAACACAAACCTTTGCATGACGATGAAGTCTTCTCGCCAGTCTATGAACGTCACGTTGAATACTATAAAGGTTTAACGAAAGTATTTTACAATGCTAAGGACTGGAATGCGTTTACTCATGTTGTGTACTGGGCTCGTGTTCATGTTAACAAACATTTGTTTGTGTATGCCTTTACTGCGGCCAGTTTGCAACGTCCTGACTTGCAGGGTGTAGTGCTTCCGGCTGTATACGAGGTGTTGCCCTGGTACTTCTTTGATGCCGATACAGTAGAAGTCGCCAAACAGCACGGAGCTCATGGCTTCCACGGTGTTAAGAAATTGGATAACATTTATAATGTGGTAGTGAAGACAAACTATAGCAATGTCTACGGTAATGTTAATTATGATCACACTTTGGCTTACTTCTTAGAAGATGTGGGCTTGAATGCTTTCTACTATTACTACAACGTTGACTATCCTCAATGGTCCCATGGTCCATCTTCTCACGAGCTTAACAAAGATCGCCGCGGTGAACTGTACCTGTATTTGCATTGGCAATTTTTGGCTCGCTATCATTTGGAACGTCTGTCGAATGATTTAGGTGATGTACCTCATCTTAATCTTTATAATCCATACGAAACGGGCCACGTCAGCAATCTACACTATTACCGTGGTGTTAGCTTCCCCAATCGTGATAACCAGCATAACTTCTACCACGAGGAGAACTACGAACCTGCTAAAGAGTATGAGATATTAACCCAACGTATTGCCGAATTCGTTGACACAACCAAGGACGATTACGTAGATGCTGTTGAGAAATTGGGTAACTTGATACAGGGTAATGTTGATAGCCATAATTCCCGTTTCTATGGCAGTTTGGATCAAGTTTTCCGCCAGATTGTTAATGAGGGTCGTCCTTATGGCAAATATGGAGAAGTATTACCTTCGTCTGTGGCGCACTACGAAACCTCGGTCCGTGATCCCATCTTCTATTCAGTTTATAAGGAAATTGTTTCCCATTACTGGCGCCTGGGAGAAAACTATCCCGAATACAAACCTCAAGATTTGCATTTCCCTGGCGTTAAAGTAGAGTCTGTGCAAATGCCCGAAGGCTTAACTACCTACTTTGAATACTTCGATTCTGACATTAGCAATGTAGTCAATGTAGAAACTCATGGTGATTCTACTGATGAATTGGTGAACTTCGGCCGTAATTCTCAGCATGAAGGCCACAGCTTTGTTGTCAAGGCGCGTCAGGTGCGATTGAATCACAAACCCTTCGATGTCGTTGTGGATGTGACCTCGGACAAGAGTCAAAAAGCTGTTGTCAAAGTGTTTGTTGGTCCTAAATATGATGAAAATGGCAAAGTAGTGCATTTAGTTAACAATTATCAAAACTTCTTTGAGTTGGATCATTTTGTTGTTGACTTGGTGGCCGGTGTTAATCATATTAAGCGCAACTCTAACGACTTTAGTTTCTACGTAGATGATCGTACGACCTATTTGGAATTGTATCAAAAAGTTTTAGATGCCGTCCAGACTGATTACAAATTCCCATTAAATCAAGCTGAGGCTCATTGTGGCTTGCCGCAACGTCTTATGATTCCCAAGGGCAAAAAGGGCGGTATGCCTGTTCAATTCTTCTTTATAGTATATCCTTACCATGCTCCTAAAGTACCACAACATTCCACTTACGATCACGTAGTCTCGTGTGGGGTTGGCTCGGGCAGTCGTCATATTGATGCATTACCATTCGGTTTCCCCTTCAACCGACCCGTCAAACATGATTTCTATTTCCAGGTACCGAATGTTAAATTCCACGACGTGAAAATCTACCACAAAGAAGATACCACAAACGTAGTTTAAAGGGAATTTTTAAGCATATATTATTACTTTACTTATTATATTATTATTTTTTATAATTTTTCTCAACGATAACTTTTCTATGCGAACTTCGATGAAATGAATTGGAAATAAAAAAAAAAAAAAATAAATAGGTAAAAAAACAAGTAAAAAGAAATTTTTTGTCATTTTGAGGTTAGTCCGGTAAATTCACGAAATGAATTAATTTTTGCGTCGCATTGCCAGCAATTGATAGCGAACACCGTGTTGTTTTTGAATTTGGAAAAATTAAATATAATTCTCGTCCTTTCCAACTCATCAAAAGATCTACCTGCACTTTATCGCTTAGCTATAGCAATGGACTTCTTCTGTCACTAAGAAGTTAGAAGTTTTCGTAGCATTTATAAGAAAGTTTTGACCATAGGACAATTTTTTTTTTCTCTTTTTTTAGTAGGCAGATAAGTTCCACCGCGGTCGCCAACAAAGCATCATTAGCCGAATAAAGAAGAATCGCGATTACCAAGTCAGGTTGTGAACGGGTTCAAAGCTTAGCCGGTGAAGGCATAAGACTTAACACTTTGGCGCACATCGACTAGGTTGCGGCCACTCCCACCTATTTCTTTGACTTTTTTCCGACCATCACCGTGACACGCATTTAGGTGACTTCGCCTGATTGGCCATCCAATAGAAACCTTCAGAATTTTTAATTAAAAGCTTTTCTTGATGTTGTTTTTCTTGTATAATTTTATTTTATTTTCATTTTGTTTACGAATTTGGTTTCGTCACACCTTCTCTTCTCATACACATTATTTTTTTAAGTTATACATTATATTTAACATATAAATCTTTTTTTTTTTTCTTCTTCTTCTTCTTTTTTTTTTATATTTCATATATATTTTCTTACATATCAAACATATTTTAATTAATTCAAATCAAATTAATAACAACGACAAACAAAAAAAAAAAAAAAAAAATGACAGTTAAGGAAGGTAAGGGGTAAGAATTCTTTCTTTTTTTTTTTTGTTTTTTGCAATTTTTTTTTTTCTTATTATATTTACTTATTTTTTTTTAGTTTCAATATATCTTTAATCAATAATTTAGGTTATGTATGTGTGTGACTTATTTTCAACAAAAATTAGTTTGTAATAATTGATGTCTCGTGTTAATTAAACAGACTTGTCTTCCTACATGGGTATAATAAGTCTACGTGGATTTTTTTAGGAGTCGGGGAGGTGAGGAAGAATGGCATAGGTAGGTAGACGTTTCACTATAATCTCATGTTTAGTATATTTTGTCTGTAATGGGGTGAGAATTCTAATACCTGTATTTTAGCTTTTTTTTTTTTCTCTTTCTTTTTTCATTTACTTTATTACTTAATATCTAAATTTTGATTTATAGTTTTTTTTCTGTTTTTTGTTTTTTTTTTTTTTTTTATACCCACCAGCCATAGATGGAAGTGCACAACAAGTTTTGTTATCACAAGCATTAAACGAAGCATATAAAACATTCCTAAAAGTATTTAGATTTTTAAGTACGTCTATCGGTCTGTTCAGTGTTCGATTTGTTAAAGACATAGAAACCGAAAAGGAAAGATTAAAATTATGTTAACAATTTTCTGTGAATGCCTGCATATACAGCGCAAAAAAAATTGCTCACAAGTACGCCCGTAGTGTTGTATAATAAAAATAAGTTCCCCAAAAGTGGAAAATTTTAATAAATTCTAGTTAAAAAGTAACAAACTTTTAGCATACGTCAGGGTCCAGGGAATTGAAATTGAAAATGGTTTCAGTTGGTGTATGATTGGCAGCAAAGTTATGCCTTAAAAATCTCTTAGAGTTGGCGGGTAATGACAACTTGCTGTAAAGCAAGTCTAACCAGTTATATTACGTGTTTTTATTATTAATTTTCTTTAAATTTTTCTATTTCCTTTTTGGATTTTGTATTTTTTTTTTTTATTTTTTTTTATTTTTGAATTGATTCATGTGCTTATCTTTGTGTGTGTATGTGTAGAAGATTACAAATACAATTATAATTAAATTTTTGTCACGTGTGATTAAATGCCTTAATTTACCTAAACATTTATAATTGTTTCTGTTGTTCTTCCACTTTTTGTCGTTCTGACCCGCTGTTAATTTTACTACGTAGTTAACATTAAACATAAAAGCTATTTTATAATAAATGCATATTACTTTTAATTTTGTTTTTATATTTTACTTTTTTGATTTTTACTTTTTTTCTTTTTTCATATCTAATATACAAGATTTGTTTTTCTCACAATTTGCACAAATATTGCATAAATAAATGAAATTAAATAAAACTCATTGACAAAAAAAAAAAAAAAAACAATTAATTACAGACTTTGTGTTAATTGAATTTTTATTAATATTTATGCTAATTTTTGTTGAATTATATTTTTAATAAATTTTTTTTTTTTCAAACTGCTTTCGTTTATTTTACAAAAACCTCATTATTATTAAGGGGGATAGGGCTTTTTTTTTTTTTTGAAAAAGATAATGGTTATAAACTTTATTCCGCATTTAAAATATATATATAAAATATAAAATGTCATTTGATAATAAAAAATAAGAATATTATAGTAGGGCAAGGCCGACTATTCGATACCCTACACCACACTACGCGTAATAAAATTATTCACAGTCATATTTTTTATGAAAGCCCGCATACAGGAGCTAGCCCCGAACGTCATATGACGTGAACTTAATGTAGTTCATATAACTTTTATTATTTTTTCCTTTCCGTCCGTGAACCAATTTTCACAATGAAATATCTGTATATCTGACCTTTTTAACCGTTTTTGTAGAAACAATGATATGAGGGAGGAGTTTCGAAAAAGTGAACCAGCCCAACTAAATTTTTCATACCAACTTAGAATGTCCAAATACTACTACAGAGCGAGTTTTGTGGAGAAATTTTAAACATTTGTAATTTTATTCCATATAACGACTTTTCAAAGTAGGGCGTTATATCAGGAGTGGCCGAAAACCTATTTTATAGCGATCATTCTAGGCCCAAAGCACATCAGTGTACCTAAGTGCATTAAAATATCTCAAAATTTGCGATCTGCAATTCGAACGCAAATGTGCTTGGATGGACAGGCAGAGGATGATTCTGAATCGATCGATATAATAAAAGGTTGGTCTGTCTTAAGTTTTTCTGGATGGTACGTGCGTCCGCGCAAACTCAATAGACCCAGTACCACACAAGTGGAGTGGGGTATAATCAAAGGAAGTCCTTTTTATATGGCCTCATGAAAATCCGATTTATATAACCAGCATTGAAAGATGGACGTACAATATTTTGTGACATCACTTAAGTTAATGATCTCAACGTTATGGAATTTTGACACATTTCGTTTGAAAGTTGTTGGTACTCAGAAATTATATGGGTTTGTTAATAGCGGACCCATATATGTGTATGTCGCGACCACAATCTTTCTAATTCCGCTGGGTACGTCTGCCTGTATGCCCTGGTATTTGTTAGTTGTTGAGTACCCTAATGAACGTAGGAATGAAAATGGAAATTGAAAGTGAGTACACATAGACTTGACATAGATCCATGAGTAAAGAGACGCAATCAACCGAAACATAGTCAAGAAAATTTCAAAATTATACTAATAATAATTTCTATTAACGCAACGAACAGAAATTAATCCCAGATTTGATAAGAATTACTTATCATGACCACCTGAAGGTTTGCATCGATCAGTTAAACGTCAGATTGACTTATTGATGTATATTTTATTAAAATGATTGATAATAAGTTTGTTCGAGCATTTTCGGCTCTTTACTCACTTTCCACACAAATAGCTTTCAATTATATTCTGCTAATTTTATAAGTTGAAAATTATTATTTCTTCCTAGTCCTGAATGTATAATCGGGCGTAAGGTTTTGGACTTATTGAATGTCCTATTGATTATTTCCACTAATTATTGCACGGCAGTCACTTTTGTTTTCTCCTCTATAGCTGGTCCTTATCAAATGGATTGACTGCGAGCAAAATATGTTTAGTAAGTTGCTCTTGATTTTTTTCTAGCCCTAAAAAGTACATCCGATCATTCTAAACATCATCATTTTTTTTATAAAGGAATCGAGATTCAGTTAAATTGAAAAGAGAATAATATTCCATTAGGCTTTTGGCAATAGAATAAAATAAAACAATCTATATATGACGCGTTAGTAATCAAGAGAAAGACTTGAAAAATATTAGATTTTATTAAGCAAATCTTTAGAGGAAATATTCCGAATATTCTCGTGAATATATTATTTTATGATATTTTTCTCTCTTCCTCTGTAATTAATACGTTATTTTTTGAAGGAATTACAGACTTATGGAAACCAATCCAAGGCGTTAATGGCAAAGCCTTCGCGTTGCATAGGCAAAACCAATGAATAGATCAATTAGATGAAATTACCATAGAATGTAATGCGCAACAGATTTATTTTAAAGAATCTTTAATGCATATTTTCAATTTCGGATTAATGTTTTGCCCAACTGTAAATATGAATAGAAGAAATATTAGTAAGAGCTAAATGAAATAAATTTATTTATTTGTTTATTCATTATAAAAATAATAAACAAAAAAAAAAAAAAAAAAAAAAAAAAAAAAAAAATAATAATAATAATAATAATTTCATTTTCCCTTTAAATTTTTATTATTAACTTATCTAATGTGTATATGTATATATACATATATGTATGTGTTGCGGTATATATTAATGTGTATAGAAATGTTGCCCCAGTTGGTTTGTTGTATACAAATGTAGGTTTTTTTCATGTGTTTTTATTATACAATTTATTTACAGCTTTTAGTTTAGTAAATAATCTTTTTATTTTTTATCATTATTTAAATAAATTTTTCATTTTCAATTTATTTAATTGCATATTTTTTCCTTTTTGCATTTTTTTTTTTATTTTTTTTATTTATTTATTTATTTATTTATACTCTCCTCTCCATTCCTTTCAAATTCTAATAATTATTTGCTTTCACTATATATGTTAAATGTAAAGCAAACACTTATGTTCTCCTTCCGAAGATAATGAATATTAAAAAGAGACGGGGAAATATTACAAAAAGTAGATAATTGTTTAGAGAACACTTGAAAATGAAGCGAATTGGCTGCTTCAGTATGAAGTGTGTGAAGATCTCTCTCAGTGGGCCTAAGCAAAGGCTATATGAATGATTGAATTTTTCGATGAATTAGATTACTTTTCATTATTATGAAATGTGAAGCTGCTGGACCAATGTTTTTGTACTTCACAGCCCTGGCAGTTCCTTTGTTTCGCTACTTCTTATGTAATATTTAGTGTTCTGAGCATTGAGGAGACACCATACACACAATACACAGGACATCATTTGCAGGATATCTAAAGAAACTAATTGCAAGGATTTCAAGAACGGTGTCTTGATATCTATTCATAACCGGCAAGAAAATCATTTTCCAAAGGATTCTATGAGAAGATAGCTTATCCTTGGAGAAATCACTGATATTGTTTTGAAAAGGGATCTTATCTAGATAATTTTTCGTCATTTTCACTGTTTATCTCCTCCACTTGGTGTTCAGTTGATTATAAAGTGCTTTCCTGCTGCGCTCTTGCATACAACTTGATAACAAGATTTTCAAGCTTTCAAATTTGTTAAACCTTTGGAAAATGTTACTGTTGTTGAAATTAATTAATTTACTTGAAATAGTGACAAATATGTCATGCAAAAAGTTGCACAACAAACAATATTTGTTTCATTTGTATGGATTTTATTTATATTTATATAACGATCAACTTCATACACGTGTGTGTGTGTGTGTGTGTGTGTGTGTGTGTGTGTGTGTGCAGCGGCACCCATTTATTTGTTAACACACATTCGCCCGAGTATATGTTTCTGATCGGCAGCGGATGAAAATAAACTGAATGATTTATATAATGAAAAAATAAAGTCCGGTTATCTCTGAGGAATCTCTCTGCTTTATACTGTGTTAACTATTTGAAGCAATAAATAAGCAAAAGCCTTATAATCGAACAAGTTCGGCCATTAAATACCCTACACCAGTTTACTTGATACAATTCTTTATTTAATTACGTGGTAAAATATCAACAATCACACCTTAGTCCTTTCTTTTCATCAGAAATATTGTATAAAGTTATCCAGGCTGGGCTTGAAACAATAGAACTACGTGATCCAAATTTGATACCAATGATCAATTTCTACGCTAAATTACTTTTACGGATATATTTTCATTATAAATACCAACTAACTAAGCTTCGTTCTCATGTAAAAGCTTAACTTCCCTTCCCTGGAAGCTTGGAATTTGGTATAGACATTTTTTTTTCTTATCTAATTCCTATCACGGATCAGTTTTTGCTATGAATTATTCAGAGGATACAGTAAGTTATCCTCAATCGTAAAAGTAAAAGATATGAATGAATGATGAAGAAATCCCTCAGCGGAATGTTTTCTATATTCTATCCATAAACATCCCGTTGAGACACTTTAAACTATACAAACTCGATTCTTAGCCAATGCAAGATTTCAAGATTTTTCTCCAAACTGGTTTACGTTTAGATAGCTCTACTTATACAGTGATCTGATCCAAAACCATTGTAAATTCTTGACCCTTAAAAGGCATTAAATCTGTAAAAGATACAAATTTATGTACTTGAGTCCATTCGATGCTTTTGAAATTGAGAGCTAAATACCGCCGTCTCTTTTACTAAGCTGAATATTTTTAAATTACCTAATAGTTGTTTAATTGATTTCCTCTTTCAATTAAATTTCTTTTTTTCTTTTTTTTGTTTGTTAATTTTAAATATTATTTTTATTTATTCTTATTATTGTTTTTTTATTACTTGCTTTTACTCAAATATTTCACTCAGTTTTTGTGTTAAAATTTAAATTCTTTGATGGCCACTTCTTCTTTTTTTTTTTTTTTAGTTTAATTTTCATTTATACAATTAAGACTTTTAGTTTTTATGCTTTTTTGATTTTATTTTATATTATTTAAATTTTTAATTTTTTTTTTATGAAATTTTATAATTATTAATTTATCAACTTTGATGTTAAGAAGTATTTAATTCGCTTAATAATTCAAAGCCATGAAGTATTAATATTTATGAGTAATTTTCTGTTTCATTTGATTTTTGATTTAATTTATTTACAAAGAATATAAAAATATTATACATACATACATATATATATATATATATATATATGTATGTATATATCTTACCATTGGACACACACGCGGAAAAGTAGTGAATTTATTTTAAATAATAAAATATTTTTTTATTTATACTCATAAATTATGGGATAGCTTTTATAAGCGGTTCAACTTTAAATCTCGTTTACTTCGTCAAAAGTAATCTTTAAGTAGTCACATGTTGAAGAGTTGCTCCAATCAAAGAAAAACATTGCTAGCAAAGCTATAAACAATAACTGAACAGAAATGAAGACTAGAAAGGCGAGCCAAAAATCACAACATCGTAATATTTCGGCAAGATAAGATGAGACTTTCTATAGCAAAAAACGGCCTAGAAAACGATAGCAACTCTGAAGTGTAGTGTGTTATCGTCCATGCCATAGGTATAAGAAACACATCTAATTAACAACGGTTTCCAATTTATTCGACTAAAGCTTCGCGTGACAATATCCGAAAAATATTTGATTTCGCAGATGACCTCTAAAGAATAATTGTTATTTCGTAATAACGGCTAATAATTGGCTAAAAAATATCCATTAATTAATGGTATTAACTAAGAAAAATATGTATTTTTCCGGCTTTACTAGTCTCAACATAGTCCCGCTCAGAAATGATGCATTCAGTTCAACGGTTATCTGAATGAAGGTCAAGATCCGCAAAACAAGTCTTACTTTTCCCAGTAATATTAACACTTGATGCGAATTTTTTTATATATAGTAACTATTGTCGATTTTGAAATTTTTATTTCAATTTTTGTGACGCCAGAAAAACGGGATGGACGACAGGAAAGAGGGATAAACCTATAACTATAAGGCTTAGAAAAAAAAGAGAGTCTTAAACAAGTAAGAAAGTTATATTCAGCGGGGGCCGAATCTCCCATATCCTATACTTTTCGCATTTAACTCTCCAAGTTCTTTTATTCGATACCCATATTGCTGGTATTATTAGGGAAAAATTAATCGCGGCGTATACTTTATTCATTTAAGAATTAATCCATGTTTAGGCAGATAATACATCTTCTTGCGAGCATTGCAGAACATAGTTTCAAACATTCCGTCTTGTCATAAGTAGGCATAAAACCTCAAAAAAGAGCAAAAAAGAAAATTTAATCACGTGTGACTTTGCGTTGGGCATGGCCGATTTTTTCAATTTTCGCCCATAAAGAGTCGAGGTGTTCGTCAAGTGAATATGGAAAATTTTAGACTTTAACTTTTATAAATTCTGAATAACGCGCAAAAACCCACAAATTTTTGTTGAGAAAAAGGGAGTTACGTTCAGTTTATGCGCCATTGCGGACTTCTGCCCAGACCAATTTGACGCATTTTCAAGACCCACTTGCATGCAAAAACTTCCAATGTTTCCACCAAATTTGGAGTGGATATCTTCTTTTTCGCGACCAGGAGAGTGCGCACAACAGACGGGCAGACGGTCAGACATGGCTAAATCAACTCCGAATTTCACACTGATCAAGGGTCACGGATCACGCTCTCTAGCGTCTGTGAAGCTTCCTTTTGGATGTTATATATATTACGAAAAAAAAAAAACGCAATGAGTACATCCTCACCGTTGAGTGGTGGGTATAATAATATTCTCGTCTAGCGGCAAGGAACAATGGTTTCACACTTTATATCATACCTTGGGGACTTATTTTATATCTTATTGAAGGATTGTCTACATGTTCTGGAAGCGAATAAAATCCATACTCAAAACACATTTGCAGGTGAACAGCGTCCTATTGAATGTTTTTTGGTGGTTTGCACTTAGAAAAAGCTACGGTATATGACCAGATATCTAGGCTCAAATGATCATATATATTAAAAAGCCATTTAGTTGAGAGACAAATAAAATTGTGTTTAAAAATCGCACAAAAGGACATAACTGTATAATTCGTTTACATTGTTAAAAAGTTATTAAAAGTTGTTTGCTTTCCGGGAATTTTTTTCCTGAAAACAATGCGTCACGTATTATATTTTTTTCATGCTCGCCACGGAAATTCTGGACTTTTATTAATTTTGAAATTTATTGTCAAAAAAAAAAAGTAAAGAAAATCTTTTTAACACAAATTCATTAATAACTTTCAATTATTGTGAATGTTTATGACTATTATCATTTTACTTATTTATTTATTTTTATTTTTATTTTTTTTTATATTAATTTTTTAAGCCAAAACCAGAAAATAAATCAAAAAATTTATAATTTTTTCAATACTTTATATGCAAGTGACTTGTTTTGTGTTGTTTTTGTGAAATTTCTTCTTCTTTTTTTTCGCAGATTGATTTAATTGCATGTTATTTAAATATTTCATTTATATTTTTATTCATTTTATTTTAATTATATATTACTTGCTCAGTGTATTTTTTTTTTTGTCGTTACTATTTTTCACTTCATTCTATAAACTTACATAACTAATTTATTTTTTATATTTTTATTTTTATTCACTGTTTTTCTTTTCTTTTTTTCTCTCTTTGTTTTTGTTTTATTTTTTTTATCAATTTGTTTTCATTTATTAGTTTATCCTTTGTTTGCTATTATATATGACTGTCATTTTTTTATTAATTTTTTTATTTTTTTGTTAATTTTATTTATTTATATATTTAGTTATTTTTGTTTTATTTAAATAATTGTATGGACAATTCAAACTCTATTTGGTCACAGCTGCTGCGGCTGTTGTTTTCGTAATGTTGTCATCAATAGTTGACTCCCTCTACTTTGGCATAAGTATTGTTGTCCTAACCATACTGTTAGCGCTAAGGCGTATAAACACAATTTTAGTATTGGATTTTTTTGTTTTATACATGCGGCATTGCCGGTTAGCGCTGAATTATCCGGATCACCATTAAGACGTTTTGAACCTTCAAGTCCCAATAAATTCGGTGAAATAGTCGTAGGCGGCCCTATGCTTAGCATTATTCGTTGTTGTACATTTTTATGAAATACATGCAATATGGAAACCTCGCATAGTAAAAGTATACTTGTTTGATATTTTGGTACTGCTTGAAAGAAGCCCTGCAGCACTTGACTGTGCGGATAAATTTCCAAAGATGAATAAGTAGCTGAGCCCTCATATGTATCATGAGTAATACGTTGAAACGGTGTTTTGTAAACCTAACGAAATAGAACAAGCATAAAAAGAAGATTGTGATGAAGCAAAGGTATAATAAATTGTATAAACAACATAACAATATATCAGCAATCTGAACAATTAAATGATATGATAAACAATTATATAAGTGACATAGAAAACAAACTAATACGCTATCTATGATTTAACTCTTCAACGTTGCGAAAAATTAAATTGAATGAAAACTTTAGAAAACTATGAGTTTTTGAGTTTGCAGCTTCTAAGTCTATATCTACGCAAGATAGGTAGCAAGTCGGTTATTAAGGAAACAATTGTTTAATTTGATCTTAATTGTATCCTTCTATTTTCAACTATCGCCCTAGAAACATGACCGCAATTCATCAACCAAGCTTTTGTGATGTTATTCCGATGTTGCCTCCACTTTTATGCATTAGTTTCATGTCTCATCAAGCTTAAGAGAGACTTTGGTTCACCCAAGATATTTTGCTTTTGTATGTACTATATGTTAATGACCAGATAGAAATGGGTAAAGAAATAGAGCTGCCACAGGTTCAGTCCAAGAGTTATAATCGTGACATTTCCTTTACAATTGTAAAACGTAGAAATTTTGTATATGTTCATAAAATAACGCATAGGTGCGAGCTTCTGGAAAGTTGTTTCTATATATAGTCTGTGCAGTCATCCTTAATTCGAACGCAACGAAAATCGGGCGAATATATTTTCTATTTAGCTTTGAGTCCTATGCCCTCTTTGGCTCTTTTATGAAGTGTTGTACGTGAAAATGATTGGCCGATGGAGAGTTTGCATAGGATTAGAATATATGTTTGGCGATGGTACAGCAAATCGGATAATAATAGTAAATCTTTTCTACAACAAATACTTTTTGGAATTCTTTTTGATATATGTTTATCATAAAATTAAAGTTATAAAGAACCCCATGTCTCTCTTCTCATCGATTAGCTCAGCTAAATGCTTTGATTAAGATATTATGATCATTTACTTACTTTTCGGCCATTGATGTACCAAGTGACATTTGCCGGTGGATAGGAGGGACCAATTGTGCACACCGCTTTGAAATTATCATTTGATGTTATCACTTTCTTATCGACTTGCATAGCCGGATCATCTTTGGGCAATTCAATAACTTGCATATGCGCTGAACGTATATCAGTGTGAAAGAGTGGAGCATCCTCCGATACTTCACATTGATAATTGCCAGTTAATTCTCGAGTTACACCTTTAAGAGTGACCGAGGTAGCGTCTGAATTTGTTAACTGCATGTGTATACAATATTAAATCGGAGAGGAAAATAAAGCATAAAAAAACGTAAAGAGTGAGAATGAGAAAAGTAATTATGATATTTTTTCTTTAATTGAAAAAAATATAAAAATAAAAAAAATAAAAACAAAAAAAAATTAAAATGTATTTTTAACAAAAGGTTATCAACACTTATAATCACTTGACTGTCATGTACACGCACTGTTTTTATTATGTTAACCATAATAACGTTATCGCATAGAGTGGCTGCATGCTGCTGTTACGCTATTCTAGTGCTTTTCGGTTGCGTTATTATAATTTTCATGTTAATTATGTGCGTGTATTCGTGTGTGTTTGCATACTTTAGTTAATGGATTGTATTGTTTTTAATTTATAATTAAAAATTTTGTTATATTTGGTTCTCGTTGTCGACGTTGTCTGCTCTTTTTTCTTTTTTTTTTTTTTTTTTTTGTTTTTAACTTAATTTTACTTATTTAAAGACTGACACAGACTTTTTAATATAATAAGTGGATAAGTGCACAAGTCAGACATTTAAAGAGCGTATGTTCTTGAAACCGAACACGTTAAATAATTTCATCCACGCAGCCATTTAGTTGAAAGCGCTTAAGGCTATTTTCATTTTAAACACATTATGTTAAATTTGTTTTGCAATTAATCAAAAATGAGAAAGTTTTTGTATATAGCGGAGTTTTCTTGTTGCACTTCTATAATAATCCTAAGTGGATTCTGTTAGATTGTTTTGATTTCCGATATCATGGTATACTAAGTTTCTGTGAATCTATCCATAATCCAGAACGTCTTAGTTTAGACCTGCATTGATTTAGAATTATTTTCTGAATCGATTTAAACTTATCTGGCCGTTGGATGTGTGTTCAGGCGTTTTTATGTTCAATCAGGTCGAAACTTTTGAAATTTACTAGACTTGCATATATCGGGTCAAGGACGGTGCGCACCAAAAGTGGATTGAATCGGACCATGCGGTCACGATCACTCTCTATACAATGCCTAAAATTGAAGCAGTGGTTGTATGAAAGAAAGAAGCAGTTTTCCAATATTCTTTACCGAATTTACCAAGTGATATGAATTTGGGAATTTGGAATTTTGAATCGGTTACTATGAAAATTAAATGTTTATCCGATAAAAAAAACACTGATTTTCAATATTTTATAGTCGAAACTGGTCTACACAAGTAATTGGTTGAGAGCAGTGAAAGATGAACATATTTTGTAAATCCTTTACGAAAGTCCTCACGAGAATAAAGCATATTAAGCAAAGAAGCCTAAATTTACGATAGAAAAAACGTAGGTTCTTCTTATCTTAGCTTTTTAGTTAACCTGATAAATAGCGTTAGAGATTCGCCAGCCTTTTGGAATGAAATGAATTTCAACGCTCCTATCAGTTCGCAAAATTCTATTCTTGACGTTTAAACCATAAACTGTTTAACTCACTTAATGTAATTGCAGCATCGAACTCTACAACAAATCGTAAAAAAAAAACACTTTATAATTATCGATCATTGCCGATATTGTATCTTAGCAAGGTCGCTCATTGAAGTCGTACATAGTATTCAATTCAGGGTTGCCAAGCCTTGTCCTAGTCTTTATTCGCACTTCTATACTTAAGGTCTTCAACTTTTCGAGACGGAACATAAACGTTCACATTGTCTTTTTCACGTGAGCCGTTTACTTGCGTTAATAATTTTTCTTAAACAATTTGAGATAAGTCTTAACTAACAAATCCTTTTCCATATGTAATGCTAAGAAAAAATTTTAAATCTTTTATGAATAAGTATTTAAAGGAAGGCGCTGCAGCTAGTTAGTTAAAAATACAATGGGTGACAGACTATTCAAGTTTTATGTATATGGAAGACATACTTTAGCCGTGCCTTAGGCATAGCTCAATAAATCTCATGAATAGAAAATATATTCTTGGTACTTAGATACAAGATGTTAGACAGGAAAACGTAGGAGTAAATAAGCGCTTCCGTATCTGAGTGCTTTGTTTTTATTGCTCGTATTACACATGCGATATGAAGCTGCTGCTGCTTGCTTTAAACCATTAAATATCAAATTCTAAAGTTAATATACTTTGTCGCTCTGTTTGAAATTCTCAGCATATTACGTTGTTAACTGTGATGAACTTAAAAGGAAGCAATTCAAATTGTTAAAAAAAAATAAAAAATAAAAAAAAGCAAGAAATATTGTAATATTTCAATACTATAAACAGAGTGTCGGATAAAAGCAGAAATCCATCACAAATACTGGCCGATGGTTACATTAACACTTGTTCAACCATCTGCCCGGATATATATGCGCATAGTGATTCTTTTTCAATCCAATCGATAACTTAATTAAAACAAATTGAAAATTCGTAACACACCAGGATGGACCTGAACGAATTTTTTCCTTTTTTTTTTTGACAAATTTGTCAATCATATGAAATTTCAACGAAATAAATTAAAAAAAAAAAATAAATAAATAAAACCAAAAAAATTATGAATCTCTCGTCCTTTTGATTGCAAGCAACCGCTGATGATGGCAAAACCGCTAACATAACGCCTGACAACACATTGTGATGCGTTGAAATAAAAAAATAAATAAAAAAAAAAATAAAAATAAATAAATAAAAATAAAAATTGTTTTTTGTATTGATTATAACGCAAAATATCTCTTCCGCTCTCTCTCACTCTCTCGCATAAACACACACACACACACGCACACACACACATGTGCACACATGCACATTTACATGAGAGCATGAATATGTATATATTAACAACGATGAAATAAAATTTTAATATATTCCGGACTTTGATGTATATTGGAGAGGAAACCGACACCGTTCAGGCTTAACATGCAAAATGGATATTGTTCGCGAGAAAAGCTAAAAATCACAATTTTTAAAGGGTGTCGGGCAAAGCGAATTTTTTCCCTCTAAATTATGGTTAGAAATCTAATTATGTATTGAAAAATTGGAAGAAAAAAAAAACAAAAAAAAAAAAATTAATAAAAACAATCCTTGATTTTGAACACTAAAAATTTCCGAAACGCCAAAATAAAGAAGAAAAACGCACACACACACACACACACGCACACATGAAAGCATAAATTTTGTAAGTCCATCAACGGGTTCGATGAAATGTTCACGGCCTACAAAATTGCACACCTTCACGGATATGCCTGCTTGCACCCATCCATATGCGATAGATATGCGACATAATACCTTTAGGCATTTGCATGTAATGCATGTGTTACTCTCCTATGCATAACTCTAGAAACCAATCAAGCAAATATTAGCAGTGAAGTATAGTAGTAAAGCATTATATAAAAATAAAAAAAATAAATAAAAAAAATAAATAAAAAACATTTTTATTTCTACGCTACTGTATGCGATTGCAAAGCCCTTTAGCTATATAAACATACGTGTACACATAAAATTTTGCAAACGACCAGTAGTATATGCTATATAGTTATTGATTTTGGTTCTTTTGCGTATGTGTTAGAATTCTGCGAATATATTTCTCTTGTTTAATTGAAATTCACTCATATTTCGTATTTGAATACATATCGTACTGATTTTGCTTTTTCCTTATATTTATGTTATTTGATTTCTATTTTTATTTTTTTTTTTTCAATTTTATATTCGCAGATATACTAGGAGTGATGTCGGCACGTTTGCACCATTTACAAATACTGGATATACTGTTCCGGAGTAGCTTAACATTTTGCTTCGTTCCATACATGGAAGAAGTAAATTCATCGAAAACTTCTATTGATGGTTGAAAACAAAGCAAAAAACAAAGCAAATCATTTTGTAAGTACATTATTTGAAAAATCATTACATCCATCATTACATTGAATTGTATTTAAACTTTTTACAAGGAACACTTTTAATTAAAACATTATTATGCTAATACCCGATATATTTATGCTTAGCAGCAATTGATGAGCAATCCAATATTCGTTCTAAGCCAATTCATAAAACTTTCTTATTTTTATTCTAATCGTTTTTTCAACATGCATATATATATATATATATATATATATTCCCGCTGAGATAACGTTGATGATGATAAGCTGTTTTATTTTGCTTTTGGCACAACAAACAGCACATATTCTCTGTATGTCTGAATTTGAGAGTGAAGAGACTTAATTGCTTGTTTTCACATATCGTACATTGTTTCTAATCATTCATTTAACTATTAGTTGTTCAATGTATATATGGCAATATATGCGAATAGCTGTAAGAGTAACTAACTAACAAGCCGTCTATATTTCGATTATTGAAAAGAGATTGCAACAAAGCTGTTGAACTATAATTTCTTTTATACCGTTGATCTTAAATTCTTGTCTGTTTTATTTATTGATTTGTTTGTTTTTGCGTTCACATTTTGAACTTCCTATTGAAACTTCCTGATTAAATTATCTTCTATGTCGAAATAATTCCAAAGTATAAATGCATTGATTGGCATTATATAAAATATTGTTTGCTGTCTGTTCTTGTTGTTGTTGTTTTGTTTTTTTAGAGCAAATCAAGCTATCAGGTAATTTTAATTAGTCATTTAAGTGAAATCGTAATTTTCAATGCAAACTTTTAGCTCAATAGCAAACTTCATCTTCTAGTGTAGTCGTCTAGTGTACATGTAGAAAAATATTCCTTCTTCGTACAATCACATTCTACAACATTCAATTATGACGTTATCTATTATACAAAATGACAATTTTTCAAAATATTTTTCCAATCTGCTCGCTTCACAAACAACCACTTCAAACATAATTTAAATTTTAAAAGAAAATTTCACTCTAAATAAATCTTCCGAAATTAAATTTCTGAAGAAGTTCGATCTTCTAGCTTCTCTTTCCTCTTTCAATTCTTCAATAACAATTCTTAGAATATTTTGTTTCACGTTTATATACTACGAGCAAGTTATATATTTACTTAGCATTTTTATTGAAAAATTGAAGCAAACTTACAACCAAAGGTTGCAGCGAAACGA